TGACGCTGCCCGTTCGCAGATGAAGGACGTCTTCTTCTTCCTCTTCTTCCTGAGCGTGTGGCTCGTGGCCTACGGCGTGACCACCCAGGCGCTGCTGCACCCCCACGACAGCCGGCTGGAGTGGATCTTCCGCCGCGTGCTCTACCGGCCCTACCTGCAGATCTTCGGGCAGATCCCCCTGGACGAGATCGACGGTCAGCAGGGTCTTCGGGGGCACGTGAGACCCTGGCACCCGGCTGGCTGAGGCGGGAGAAGCCCCAGGCCCGGGGCGCAGCCCGCAGGCCGGTCTAGGCAGAGGCCGAGGGGAGCCGTGCAGGGGCCGGCCGAGGGGCAGGCGGGCGAGGTGTGCCAGGTGGGAGCCCTTGCACCTCCTGGACTGGGGCCTGGGCCCGTCGGTCCCTTGACATCTGACGTCCACCCTCCCCAGGCCACCCACCCACCAAGGCCCCAAGTGGGCCCTGGCCCTGCGTGCAAGCCCCGCCCGGCTGGTGCTGGGCCTCCGGGAAAGTGTGTGCAGGGGGCCGACCTGGGGGCTCTGGCGGGGAGGACGCGGTACTGTCCTGGCTGCGGGTCAGGGGGCAGCGGCAGCCTGGGCGGGCGACGGCCGGGGCAGCCAGCATGGCGGGGCTCTCGGGGTGGGCTCCCAGCGCCCCTTGAGTGATGGTGCCGTGACTGCCTGTCACAGGCGGATGAGACTGGGCTGACAGGCCAAGGGGTGGGGGCTGGGAATACCCAAGTGGCCTCCTAATCGGGGCTCCCTGACCTGGCCTGTGGCCCGCCCCACCGCCTGCCTCCTGACCTGCTGCCTCCTCTGCCCGCACAAGGGCAGCGACCCTCACTGACCCCCCCATTGTCCCCACCACCGGGGGGGGCAGAAAGGTGGGGTCACTCGGCCCCAGAGGCTGCATCTTGCTCAGCCAGTGCTGGTTTGGGCTCTGGGCCGGTAGTTACAGCTGAGCGCAGGGCCTGGGGGGCAGGGGGCGTGCAGACCCCGGGGCGGGGGCGCCTCACTCAGAGCATGTCCCACTTGTCCAGCCTAGGGGCCAGGTCCCCCCCCCAAGCCTCAGGAGGCACCGGCCGGCCTGGAGGGTCAGAGCTGGAGACCAGGCTTGCCAGGCCGCGGCCCCTCGGCGCTGTGCAGTGGCCTGCGCCTGTGGCCTGGCCCAGAGGGGCCGTGTCCACCCTGCCTTGGCCGCAGGGGCAGCGCGTGTAAGGGCCCCGAGGCAGAACTGCCTGGCTCCGCGGCTGCGGCTCCCCAGGGCAGGGTGCCAGGGTAGGGTGCCAGGGTAGGGTGCCAGGCGACCCCGAAACCCCACGCCCCCGGTGGCCCCAGGGCGGTGGGGGCCCCGCCCACTCAGCCTGTCCCGCAGAGGCCCGCGTGAACTGCTCGGCGCACCCCCTGCTGGGGGAGGACTCGCCCTCCTGCCCCAAACTCTACGCCAACTGGCTGGTCATCCTGCTGCTGGTGGCCTTCCTGCTGGTCACCAACGTGCTGCTCATGAACCTGCTCATCGCCATGTTCAGGTGCCCGCCGGCCGGGGCCGCGGCCGCTCGGCCTGGCAAGAGGGGCGGGGCGCG